TTGATGTTGTAACGACGGTGGTAGTGGCTGTACAATCTATGCTCATATTCCCAGTCCGGCCGCACTTGTAGCAACCGGCACTCCCTTCCTTGCACGCCCCGTTGTGCAATCTCCCACACTTGCCACACCGAGCGTGGCTCTGCTGACTCCTAGCTCTTTGGTCTGAACCCTTGGGCTTTTTGCCCGCATTCCCTGTACCTAGAGCCGCCTCCGGCTTCCTCTTCCTCTCCATCTCAAGGTCAATCTCTCTCTCTCTCTCTCGAGCCCTAGCAATCATGTCATCCAACATTTTACAGATGGACCGGCTCATGAAGTGGCGGATATAACTCCGCAACATCTTATGATAACGGGCCTTCTTTATTTCCTCACCATCCACATACTGAGGAACGAGAAGTGCCCTCTCCCTGAACTTGGTGGTAATTTCCGCCACCGACTCTGTAGTCTCGGTAAGATCCTGAAACTCGCGCGCTAACTGCTGCAACCTCAATAACCGGTGCGCACTCGGCTCTGAATCTGGTAGTAAAGTCTGCCCAAGTCATGGCATCTAAGGCTGCGTCATCCCCGATGGCATGACCAATCTCCTCCCACCAATCCCATGCCCTGTCCTTCAGAAGACAGGACGCCAATCTGAGCTTGTCCCCCTCGGGACATCTGCTAGTGCGGAAGGTGTTAGCCAAATTTCCCAACCATATGGTGCTCGCTATGGGGTCCCACGCCCCATGGTAATCTGGAGCTCCACATGCATGGAACTCCCTGAAGGTGAGCGTGCACGACCCTATCATGGCCACTACCTCAGCACGGAAAGTACTCAGCCTCTCATCCATCAACTCCAAGATACCCTCCTTGATCTAACCAAAGATCACAAGAGTCTACTCAAGTATGGTGCGAGTAATTTCTGAAGAGAGAAACTCCCTGGTCTGCTCATCCATCTGCCCGGCCTCCGGGCCTGATCCTGATCCCACTCCGACACCTGAACTGCTAACTGCTGGTCTAGTGCGTAATACCACCATTCTGAAACACAACATAATAAATGTCAGGAACACTGATATATCTCGGGGAATCACTACTACCACAAGTTTCCCGGTCTCATCTTAGCTTTCCTTGATTCAAGTACGGATCCTCTGCTTCCAGTAGTATGGGCCCATACTACGTTCCACATCTATCCGTACTTTCCTCAAGTACTGCCTTGACTCCACCAAGTCACTATTACTGCCAATAATCTCTGCTACTCTCATCCTAGGCTTGCCCTAGGGAATTCTATGACTATACCCAATCCAGTCCTCAGCTGCTAAAAGCCTCCCTGTGAGGCCAATTAGCCATCACCTGAATACCATCACATGCGGCGAGGCTCAGATAATCCTTCAATTAAAAGACTCATACCTACAACGGTTATACTCACACAAGAGCTACGCAATATGGCTAAATCTACCACTCTGAGATTATTCAACCTTGTTCACATGTGACGTGACACATTCACCTGATGGCTAACTCTCATCACTTAGAGTCCCGTAAAGCATAGAGCAAGCAGCATTCAGACATAGGATAACACTCAAGCAATTCTATCCTCATAAGAGGGAAACTATACTAGCATACAATGCTATGTTCATATTATCAGGCATAACCTAAACAGGCTATCCCACTGCTGACTACTCTATGTTAGCATACAATTCTTACAAGGCTAAAGCACATAAAGCAGACATATAAGGCATCCTCCTAGATACTTAGTTCTATACTAGCATGTTGTTCTACTGATACTAAAACTGAAGCTGATATTCATAACATAACTTGTATGGGTAATTTGGGAGTACTTACTTGAGCTCGGCTGATCGCATGCACCACGCCCCTTTTCTCTTTTCAAAGTTTTTATCTTTCTTAAAAATTCTTTTTACTTTTCTAAAACTCTTTTCTTTCGAGAAACATTTTACCATTTCCTTAGTTGAGTTCAGACACACCCAGAAGTGTGCCCGAATCCCTCAAACCAAGGCTCTGATACCAACTTGTAATATCCCCAAAATACGATCCAAAATTTTTGTTTAAATAGTAATAAAAATCATATACTGTTTTTCATTTCATAAAAACCATGTGTCAAATATTCAACTCATATTAAAATGTCGTGAAACAACTATATCAAATCAAACTACAAATCAAAACAAACTCCCAGAATAAAGACTGAAGTTGTGGTGTGTGCGATGCCATCATCCCGAGCTCTTCCCCTTACTTATGGAAGTACCTGAAACCAAAACTGAAACTGTAAGCACGAAGCTTAGTGATCTCCCCCAAACTACCACATACCATACAATAACATATAAACACATACTGGCCTTGCCCACTGCATCGGGCCGAAGCCCAGAATCTGCATCGGACCGTAGTCTAGAACTGACTGGGACCTTGTCCCCTGCATCGGACCGATGTCCGGAACTAGCTGCATTGGACCGAAGTCCGGAACTGACTGCATCGGACCGAAGTCCGGAACTAACTGATCATAGCATAGCATAAACACATATCACCTAGCATAACACTCATCATCATAAACTCATATACTGCATACTACGCCCGGCTGTAGCCCACAATACATAACGCATAAATCCTGTCTGAACCACGAAGGCATCAAACACACTAAAAACTGCATCGGAATGAAGTCCGGGAACTACTACTAACTAAACAGGCCGACATTGTGGCCTTAGAACCGTTTCTACTGGAAGCAAACTCACCTCGTAGCCTAGCTGCTGAAAGGACTCCTCCGGAATCTGTCTGCTACGTCTCCGGTTTCACCCCGGCTACAATATCCATGAGCACCATCAATCAAATACTGATAATTATAATATTGAGGGTAAAATGACTCTCATACCCCTGGTCCAAGTCAACCTAACTTTCAAAGTGAACATTCAGTTGACCTGACTCGTCGAGTTGGGCCGCCAACTCATCGAGTCCTTACTCTTACTTCCTTGATTCCACTCGCTACTACTCGTCGAGTTTTGGTGCAAACTCGGCGAGTTCCATCCTCGTGTGAAATAGAGTTCATGGGTGCCACAATTGCAATCTGCCAAGCGAAATGGATACGTTGTCTTCTTGCAGAGATAACCAGATAACTAGTAGCCCCTACAACTTAGTACACTGATGACATGTCATCTTTAGACCTCATGAAAACTCTAGTGTTTAACGGGCCCAACAAATACATTGATACCCGATTTTACTTTATTAGAGAATGTGTGAAAAAAAGAGAAGTAAGGGTGACTCATGTTTTCAATAATGAACAAAAAGCTAACATACTTAGGAAAGCAATGACACTAGTGAAACATAAGGAAATGATGGAGTTAATTGTAGTAAAAAAAGGTAACAAATTTTGGATTATGGGGGAGAATATTGTTATAATCGAGATTTTACTGCATGTTTTATTTAATTCACATTTTATTTACTGTTTTACCAAGTTTAGGAGGTTTGAATAATTCAAATCCATGTTGGTTTTAGTACCTGGTCATGGGTAGATAGATAAGATAGTTTGTTTCCTATTTTTATGGGTTTCCTTTTTATTTTGTTTAAAAATGGCAAAGTAGGGCAAAATATATGTATTCTAGTGGTCATCTATTTATCTTCCCAAAAGTAAATAAAAGTGTGCGACTTTTGCACACTGTGTTTTGACTTTCTTGTTTTTTTGTCATTAACCAATGAATACAGTATGACTTTCTCGTTTTTTGTGATTAACCAATGAATACAGTCTATACCCTCTGTGTAAAAGCCAACAAAAACTATATACTTATTTTTTCCATTTTTTATTTTTATAATTTGGGAATTATCAGAAAACTCTCAATATTTTAGGAAAATTTACATTTTAGTCAAAAAATTTAGTTTTTCAACAGAAGAGTCCCGATTATTTGATTTTACACGATAATATATCATTTCCTATTAAAAGGAAAAAAAAAGACTTTTTTGCTAATTTTAGCAAAAATAAAATAATCATGGCTTATCTATTCAAAAAATGAACATTCAAATATTAGGATTTTTCTAACAATTTCCATGTAAGTCCCTAAATTTGGAACCAACTAGTGATCAACAAATAAGCGAACTAAAATGATCAAGCACAAGAATGAGTAGAAGATAGAATTGATCCAAATTGAACTCGTTTTATATATAACCGAAAATGTCTGGTACAATGGACACTGCACACCCTTGACCACAAACAACCATGGACAAATGACAAGCTAATGACACTATTTATAGGGAACAGTAACAACAAACTAGTTTGCAGCAGTAAACAGCACATGGACTGAAAACGAGATGTTTTTGGTCCACCCAACCGAAAACCCACAAAACACCTATACAAAGTCTACAAAACATAAATTCCTAGCTCAAACCAACAAAACATGTCCTAACAGTCTTCCCCTTGGTTTGAGGCTAGCATGAATTCAATCCTTCTCGATCAACAAAATATCTGAGTTCCCTATAGCGCCTGCCCACATCTTTTTGTTTATAATCTCAGCGACCATACTAGTAAACTCCTTTGTAGCAACCTCTAGAATATCATTCTTGACCACTATCTGGTGTTGTGATAGAGTACAGATGTCACACTCTCTAAACTGTAGAAGATACTTTGCTTCAACAAGACAGAAAACACATTTAGGAAATTTGATGACTGCAGTAGATGTGGCCTCGTCATAAACCCAAAATTCCATATTATCCAGAGACCCATCCAGGAACTATTGAACAATAGAAATTTGATGCATTTTCTTTGTAGGAGGCCACATCACAGATTTTACAGTCTGGTTGGTCTTGGGATCGAGGACCCCTTTGAATTTCTTTACAAATGAATCATCGGTCTTCATTCCATCGAATTTTCTCCTTAGTTGGTTCTCTAAAAAGAGGTTGAAATCAGACCCGCGATGATAATTCAATGGATTGTGGAATTGAGCTTTAGCGAGTTCTGTAAGGTCGAATTTGGTCCAAGAATTAAAGTCATTTTTGTGTTCATAGTACTCAACATTTCAACTTTCCCATTTGACCACCTAGATATTCAATTTATCATGAAATCCCCACATCAAAATTCCATACCGATCTCCGTAGTTGTTCTTGAACCGCTTTATCCCAAGCTCATTCACACTTAGTTGAGGCCGATCTCCATGGATGTTTTGTTTGGAATTTTTCATGAAAAGCAATCTTCTTTTTCCTTGACGCTTGGTTTGTTTATGAGCTTTCATTAGAATTGCTCTTGGATCAGATTGAGCAGGTTCAATTTCAAAACGATCAATAATACAGGTCATTCTGACATTTTGAGAATCATCTTGAGGATTTTTAGTTTCTTTGGTAGGGGCACTATGGGAAGCTTCAGCTACATTAGGTTCACCAACCGATGTTTTGAATTTGTCTCCAAATTCAATTATCAACTTTTTCGTCAATTCAAAATAACAGCCACATAAAGCACCAAGATTGAGCTGCAAGTCGGATATTTGTTTTGATTTATGTTCATTTTCTTTCTCGAGCTCTGAAACTCTAACGTCTAGAGTTCCAATCTAAACATCTTTTTCAATAAGTTTTTGATTTAAGACTCCGATCTCCTCCTTGAGCTTGAGCATCGTCGGATCTTGTTTATTAGGGATCCATGAACCTATTAATATTCCTTTGCCCCTAGGTGCAGGGACATCACCTTCACAACCCAAAAACCTAGCAACCCGTTCAGAGGCTACATCGTGCACAGGTTGAGGAGTCAAGGAGCCACCAGGAGCTGAAGAGCTCATGGCTTCACAAGATGGGAGAACAATGTTAGGCTCCTCATGCATCATTTGGCTGTTAGAATGGGTTGGTTAGCTTGGGGTAACATTTGTAGTAGATTGTTGAGCGGGCTGAGCTAGTTCCCTAATGAGCACTCCCGAACTTGGATCTTCTCTTCTTATTTTAAGTGCAGGCTTCGAGGCTTGTGTCTCTTGTGGATTACTCTCATATGGAATAAAATTTGGAGTAGCAACTTCTCGGGAAGGAATCCTCATAGTTGAATCCAAATCAGCAATAAAGTCGTCCATTTGCTCAGGCGATTGTTGTGGTAGCTTGAGAATATTTTCTTCTCTTTGAGTCTTCGTTGGAAAAAATCCAACATCATCGATATTATCAAAGAACGAACCGAGGTCTTCATCATTCGGCTCGAAATCAAGATATACATCATCATCATCAAAACTTGATAAATCACCTTCTTGATCCATTCCAACTCCATCATCATCTCTATCATCATTAAACCCTAGGGTATCATCCTCTAGATCCATCCTATCATCACCTTCATAATGATCATCTTCATCATCATCATTACCATTGATCATTGGAACATGCTCCGGTGCAACAATTCCTACAAGAGGAATAGTGATATCTTCCTAATCAGAAACAGTAACTTCATCATCCTTATTTTATGAGGCTTCAACTAAATATGAATCCTCACCAATATCAGCAAAACATACAAACTTTTCTAAGGGCTTTGTTCCTTGAAACACACATTTTAAGACTTTGCGGTTCTGCTTCATAAGACCAAAAGTGCTAAGACCCAGAGACTTCAGGTCCAAAGTGTCTCCACTTCCTTTCAATTCAAGATATTTGGCATTGATGATCATCTGGAGGATCCTTGGATAGATTAAAAATGTGTCCTTTCTCTTCCTTTGTAAATTATTCTTCTTTTCATTCAACACATATCTTGAAAAATTGAAATCAAGATCCAAGACTAGCGTAGTGATGGCACCATTATTCAATAAAGAAATTTCATCTACACCTGCTTTCTAGCCAAAGATGCACATAACAAAGAAATGGGCAAGAAAATGCCAGTATGGAGGTAGCAACTTCTTCATTGTAGTTGGGAAGACTCCATCATAACCCATTCTATCAAGGATCATCTTGATCTGATCCACATGAATTTCTTTTCCTTGAATTGAAGGTTCCACTATACCTTCCCCATTCGTTCCCTTTTTCTTGACAGAAGCTTTGTCCCAAAAATTGCTTTACTAAATCTTCATAAATAATGAGATTTGATTGGAAAGCATGAGCAAGTCTGCAATTTTTAAGTCGATGAACCATGGACCTAAATTCTTGACGTGCTTCTAGTGGATCTGACAGACATGCCGCAATGTTGTGGTTTTTCGAGAATTTTATGTCTGCCATTTATCTGCATCAACCGAGCAAAGTGACAAATTTAAAAATTTTAAACAATTAAGATTAAATTTCTCAAATATAGATTGATTTGGATCCAATTTAATTTTATTCAAGTTGAAAATTAAGGTTGATTATAGTCTTTTGGCCAAAACAACTATACTTCAGTTTTAAAAACATTTTAATATGAGTTTTCTGTGTTAAACGATTTCCAGCCGCAAACACGTTTTCAGCTATAAACGTTTTCGATTCCAGTTTCGACGAAGATCACCATCGGGAACATGATTTTTTTCTCTAAAACCTACAAAAAAAAAAGTTGAATCGAGTGAAAATTGGTTGTATGGTGGTCTCCAAGTCATTACCTAGATGAATCAGGAATCAATTTTGGATGATAAACAACAGAAAATGATGAATCGATGGATTTTGCTTTGACAGAAAACGTGAACAGTAGAGAGAGAATCAGGAGGAGTTTTCGGCCGCAAACGACAAAATGAAGGGAATATGTTTTAATGGCCGAAAATCCCACCTTTTATGCTATATTCATATTTTGGGCCCAATATCCATCAACAAATGGGCTGTAAACGGAATCCTTTAAGACAAAAACCAATAAATCCAAAATTTTTAATAATAAAACATTTTGAAGACAAAAAATTAAAAAATAAAATAAAATAAAATAAAAATAATGTACACTCTAAAAACTTAAATGGAAATTAAAAGATAACAATTTTAGAAAATTGAGTTAAAAAATAAAAAGAAAAATAAAAATAACACTAATTCCCTTTTCAAAATAAAGAGGTTTTGGGATCATAAGTTTTGACAGAGTCTTATTATGCTTTTCGGTCCCTTCATCTTCATGAATAGATCTAGTCAATTCTCAGTATTGTGGTCCACTTAAACATGAAGGATATTGACAATTTGGACATATTATGAGTGACAAGTCATTACTCTTAAAATCTTAAATGGACCATTTAACTGACGACAACCAAGGGTATTGTTGTCCACTTAAATTTAGAAGCAAGATCTACAGACAACCTATTAATTGATTCAATTTTAGATGAACTAGATTATGTTTCCCACTTCCTGATATACCTTGGTAATCAAGTTCTTCAAAAAAATTCCTTACTTTAGATGAGTACACAATTATTAGGTGAGAAAATAGATTTAGAACTGCATATGTTATGCCCCGGGTTGGATCTCTTCCTATCACGCAGAGTGGACAACATGTGACTAACGCAGATAGAGCAGTTTGGAGATAGAATGTTTATCACATTGCTCAATCTACCCAAGCATCGTATTGTCAGTCCAAATGAGACTATCTAAATTCATATCGTCTAGTCCTTTCATTGTCAATCAAAGTCTAGTCCTTTTAAAACACTTCTTGCCTACCAACGCATTAAAAATAGAGTCTAGACAATTCATATTCATTACCTTACACTTGTTTCGACTGCCCTTTATCACTCAATCTTGATATCACTTCCCCAAATGATCACCTATAAAATAAAACCATAAGAACATATTTTTGGATTTTTGATATATATATATATATATATATATATATATATATATATATATATATATATATATCAAAAATCCAAATATATATATATATATATATATATAATATATATATATATATATATATATATTTGCTTTTATTTCTCCCCTTAAATTTGTGTATCGTAGAAAAAATTAATGAGACTTAAAATAAAATGTGCAAATTTAAACTAAACTAACAAAATGTTAGTCTTCAAAATGGATCATTTTGAGAAAGCCCACAAGCACATCAAATCGAGCTTTGCTAAAGGGTTTTGTAAACAGATCTGTCAGATTATTATTAGTGTGGATCTTCTCCAAATGAATAAGTTGACGATCATAACAATCTCTGATAAAATGAACTTTGAATGGAAACATCATTATCACAGAAAATGGGAGTGTCAAGAAAATTCAACCAATAATCCAAAAGTTGATGTCGAATCCATATTACTTGGGAGCAACAGGCAGAGGCAGCTACATACTCAGCCTCAGACGTTGAGGTTGACACAGTTTGTTGTGTCTTAAACTGCCATGACACCAACCAGTCTCCTAGAAATTGGCACCCACCCAATGTTGATTTCCAGTCAAGCTCACATCCTCCATAGTTACTGTCAGCAAATGCTTATAAATCGAAATCGGGATTTTCAGGATACCAAAAACCCAATATAGGGCTACCTTTATGATAACTAAAAATCCTTTTGACAACAATTAAACGAGAAAGTTTAGGATTAGCATGATAACGAGCGCATTGACAAACTGCAAATATGATTTCGGGTTCGCTTTGTCACACCCCAAAACCAAGAACGGTGGAAACGTTCTCGAGCGGAGGACGTCATGTACAGTATCACAACAACGAATAGTAGTAAACAAGTAACAACATCATCCATTACATTAATAATATAATTTTAATACAAGTGTTCTGACATGTTTAATATACACTAAATTATGAATCCAAAATGAAAGATGAGTCTTGAACGAGCTCCATCTTCTCTAAACCTTGCATGGGTACCTGTCTACTGTTTACATGAGGATACAAGTTAGTTTGAAAGAGAGTATCAGATTTTAAGTTGGTGAGATCAAAAGTATTTTAGTGTCTGTATTTGTAATAATGTATTTGTAAGAATGTATTTGTAAGACTCTATTTGTAAGAATGTATTTGTAAGAATGTATATGTAAAAGATTTGAATAACCTAGAAAACCCTATGCTTCCTACTGAAAGTAGCCTTCTACCAAGGCATCTAGTATATGACTGTGTCTCTTGTAAGAGTGTGTATTTTCCCAAATCTAACTATCATTAACCAAAAATATAGTATTTACATTACCGTGCATCATGTGAATGTTCACGAAGTGAATGTAATGGGGAAATAATAATGTACTGTAGTTTTATAATAAGTGACTACTGGTGTACTAACTACCTTAAACCAATGGAAATTTAAAGTAACATGTGATCGGCCTGTATCCTGCTACCGACTCAATAGTAAAACGGCGATGTATGACGTCGTAAGAAATGACATTTGGCACCTGTAGATTTGCAACTCTTACTGTAGCAAGCAACAATGTGTAGGATAGTCAATCCAGTATAGATCTATACGCAAACTCATACGCTCCCCAATTAAGGAGATTCTGGATAAAAAAACAGTCATGGAAGGTAGTGCCATGACCCGTTTAATGCCTCACATAATTGAATGTAATGTATATGTAATGTATGTGCTAGCTGTATTGTGTGTTCTTCCTCTGTCTAGCATGTATTTTTGTTTCTCAACACTATGTATTATGTTTGTTTCTCATCACTATGTATTATGTTTGTTTCTCATCACTATGGATTATGTTTGTCTCTCTCCACTATGTATAATGTTTGTTTCTCATCACTATGTATTATGTTTGTTTCTCATCACTATGTATTATGTTTGTTTCTGATCACTATAAGTTATGACTCATGTATGAACTTACTCTTTGTATGATTCATTGTTCTAGTATTAGTATTAGTAAAACCCTAAACTACGCCTATTGTAGTTTACTAGTAATATAACTTGTACGTATGAACATGGAAGTCTACCCTTGCTACCCAAGGGTATTGAATTGACTGGAAGAACCTTTATGACTATATATGTACACATGATATATAAATAATAGTTAAACGACCTTCAGATGGATACCCGATACCCTACCAGACCACATCCCAACGGGGAAAAGGAAATAAGGCGAGTTAGCCTTCCTAAGCCCTTCAAACATTACTTATATAAATATACATATCTAGGCATGTAATTGACAATATAAAATTATAAAAGAAGTTTTGTAAAACCTTTGAAGAGTTTAAGAACTAAGAAAAGGTGACTTGATGCCAGTTTGAAAACAGTTTATTTGATAAGAACAGTTTAAAGTATAATGAATCATTTGTTTTGGTAACACAATTTTAACAGAGTTTTGAAAAGAAACATTCAGTATGTAAGACAGTTTGATAAAGAGTTGTAAACTAGTAAAAATGTTTTGGAAAGTCATTTGAAGTAATCTGTTTGGTAAAACAGCTAAAAGTGTAGTAATTCTATTTATATGCTAGTTATCAATCACATGTGATTGATATAATAACTAGCATGGTTCAACTTGTATACCCCCCCCCCCCCATAAAAGAATTTAAAAACATTTAAAAGATAGATTAAGGGGTATGAACTCACTTGTAGCAAGTCGTTGGGATTGAACGGACTGTATAGGATGCTAGGTGTCAAGTGAAGACTTGCACACACTCTATGATCCTAGTTAACATATAATATCACATATATGTAACCAATTAGCCTTTAAATAATTAACTAACAAGGTTAAGGCATCATAAAACATGTTAAACACTTTATATAAGTGTTATAAGTGCTAAGGATTTCGTCTAAGTGTTGTAGGACAAAGCTATTGAGCTTAGGGTTCAAGGGAACTCCTAATATGAGTTTACTCCCTAAAGACCATACCCCATTGAGTTTACAGTCGTAAAATCATGGTTTTATAGCCGTAAACTCATGTCTTCTTGACCATGAGTTGTTTTGAAGCCTTGTAAGTCCCTTGAAGCATTTCTACATTGAAGTATAAGCCTATGGAAGTGTTTGTGGCATCAAAACACCCCTATATGTAGTTTACGTCCCATGGACCACTTCTCCATGTGTTTGCGGCCATAAACACATATTATTTATGTTATTTTGATGTTTTCAAGTCCCATACGTATCAAGGAATAAATCTAGACTAGTTTCCTAAGCAAATGAAGGGACTAGGGCCATTTTTGACCCCTTAAGAAGGGTTTACGACCCAAGGTGTTCTTGGAACGTAAACACCTTTAATCTTGGTGTTTTCTTGTGCTAAAACCATTAGGGAAGGGTTCCATACTAGTTTCTAAGCATAAGGGAAGATTTGGGGGCACTTTGGCACCCAAAATAGAGTTTACGGTCCAAGAAGATCTTGGGCCGTAAACTCCTTCTTCTTGTGATTCTTGAGTGGTTTCT